GTCTAGGGATGACGCTCGCTGACTGCCACAGAAACACTTGCCCTGACTGTACGACCCCTATCAATACTGGAGAAGCGATTTAAGAAGAATCTTCGGCCAGTATGACTTCTGTATTCACTTTGTCTTGGGGTTGAGACATGGAGAAGTCTCAATGCTGGAGTATGAGCCCGCCTCTCGGAATTGGAAGTACAGCTGGCTCGACTCGTCTCTACTGAGCAGAGGATGATGTGATTCTATTCTATTCTGCGTGAAGGGTTACTATGGTGACAGGCAACGAACTGCTCCCGGTGAGTCAAGTTGACTTCAAACAACCGCTGGAAGCGCAATGAGACGGACATGCAGTGGCAGGGTAGAAGTGTATTCACACATACACGGAGAAACAACTGAAGAGAAGGAACTCAAGAAAAATAAACGAACGCATAAAATCATATGGGGATAAGCACACTCGTGGCAACACATCTACCATTGCCACTGCTGTCACGTGATGGGAAATGCTCGAGTCGACGCGTTAGTGTATCAGAGCTGGATTTCGTATTTTACCACCACCTCAAACAGCGTGGAGGTGAACAGTGCGAGGGATGCGGAACAACGACCTAGACTCACCTCGGTTTTGCCACAAAACACGCACACCATTTTCACTTGGACATGAACAGGTTTCGTTGGGGCTTTTTTGGTCGTACATGTACAGTGCTGCCAACTGAAATCCGACCCCCCTACCGTCTCGTACGAATCGCTAACGTGGCTAGCGCACCGCTAGGGGGGTCGGATTTCAGTTGCCAGCACTGTACGCATCCAACAACTAAGTTACTTACTCGGAACGGTGACCCTCTAAACTCAGTCTCAAATCGAGGATGACAGACGAGCCGCAGCAACGTGACGATTGAAGGCGGCGTAAACCATGGTAAACCTCAAACATGTGCGCACCCGGAAACTCGCAGAACAGTGGCGATGGACTAATTACTACTAGTACACAAGTACATGAGGGAGCATGACGCCACGCCAAGAGAAACCTCGGATATTCCTCATTTCTACATGGGTCTCAATTGTATGGTGACAAAACATACTAAAACACCGCTCGTCCAACCACCCTCTCTGTCTCTCCGTCTCTCTATCTCGTTGGGAGGCAGTTTTGTAACAATTCAGACTTACTGAGATGATCCTTTGCGGCACGGTCGACAAGGGAATCCGCGGCCACTCCCCACAAACCGGAACCGCATGGTAACGTCTCACTGCTTGAGGCGGTCCGAACGAATAGTAGTTGTGCATCCAGGACGGGGCGAGACGGAGTAGCGGTCAACCACGGTCGACAGATACACCGCTGGTGTGAAATTCGGCAGGAATTCCCAATGCTGTACGATCCTCTTTGGAGCGACACATACACGCGAGGCTAAGCACGCGTTCGTCGTTCGTCGTCGATCCAACTTCAGGTACGATCCAGCCAAATGAAAACAGTCCAAGACCTGGAGGAAGAATACAATGAAGGCCGAAAAACAAAGGAAAAAATTATCCGACAGAATTCTCACACGAACTACGAAAACTGTCGATATCACAGTGTTCTTATGACATCCATTTGCGGCAAAGTAAGACCTTTTTATTGGTCGCTGCAAGGCCTGGAAGGACGGGCATGTGCTAGCAACACTTCTCAACCTCACGCCCGGGATAGTTGCACACTCCTGCCATGAATTCCATGAAGAAATGGCAAAATCATATCGTTTTTTCTGAAAACCAATAATGGATAACGTTGAACACTTGTAAAGTTCTCACCATTTCTCCTCGAATGCACATTTCTTCTTTCTCGTCCTGGCGTTGGATGTAGCGGAAGAACGATGTCTCAACCAGAGGTGGTGCGCTAGCGCACTGGGCAAAGCGCTATTCGTCGGCTTACCAATAGTGATTACGTTGAAACAGCAAAATCCCAAAAGGTAATACAGCCAAGACTCTCCACTTCCAGTTTGCTGAAGGAAAAGAAGAGGGAAGAGCGAAGTGGACGAATAGGACGACCTCCTTGCGGAAAAGAACCGTTGGCGGGAGCATGCGCACACGTCTTATTTTGGAGGTTTGGAGCACATGGTCGACGCTGATTGGCGGAGCGGCGTGGCGCATGAGCATGTGTATGTGCAGCTGCTGTGTGTCCTTTTGTACTTGGTGACTTGGTCCTGGGTTCAAATGCTGCACTATTGATATCAGATTTGAATCTGATTATGATAATAAATAATAAATGGTATTATTGTAAAGATACATGATTGTAGATTCTACATCATACATGATCTGACCTGATATGATTTTTTTTGTATTTTATTATATTTTTTAAAGGATTTCCCAAAGGCTTTGAGCCTGTCGAGGGGATCTCCTGCAAGAAGAATGAAATGACAACTTTATGTAGAGGGAGCAGTTAAGAGGATAGGCTAAGGAAGTAGATCGAGGCAACAAAATCTGGTAATTAAGGAGTTGGGATACCGTCAGTGTAATGAATATATCGGCGAAAATGCTGATAGAGAGAATGCTTGAATTCGGGGAGGCTGGTTATCATAGAGGTAAGTCAGGATGACGCTTACAAAAAAGGCTGCAGCCTCCACGTCATCCGTTCTATGCCATACTGGACGATATGAACCAGGGAGTCGTATATATACGACTCCCTGATATGAACAGTCTGATGAAGTGAAGCCATCACTGGTAGTGGTAGATCTACTACCGGTAGATCACTGCATATCAGGCATGAGTACAGACACGTATCCATGGTATCAGAGCTTCGAATGTGATTCACTGATTGTGTGTTTGGCCTCAAATGGCTCCAGTTTCCATAAATTCCTAGCGAAAGAAAATACAAACTACATGTAGATGATTGTTAGTGTTAGTAAATACAGTGTAGCAAGAGTAGATAAACAAGAGTGTGCAACTCCGGATCTCTCCTGCACAATCTCCAGATTGCCCATGGCGGAATTTCTTGTTGACGTCACCTTTTTTCAGAGAAATGCGCATTTTGCCGCAGAGCAGTGTGAGAGCACGTGCTGGGCACCGACCTTGCAGTAGTATAGCCCGGCCAAGAGCATGAGGGAAAACTTACTTTCCGAAAGACTCGCAGCGCGTGCGTTGTCGAAAAGATTACGTCAACAAAAAAATTCCGCCGTGGGCCTACCCATCCGCGAGTTGCACACTCTTGTTTATCTACTCTTGCCTTGGTAATACCAGGGAGCTACTACTAGTAGTACAATACCATTATTTTACTACTCCCTGGTAATACTAAGTAATAGTATTGTTACTGTCAATGTCATTCTTCGCTTCACTCCTCATCACTATGGTCACCCGGGCTCGTGTAACCCCGGTTCCACGTCGGACCCTGCGTCCTAGCGGAATCTACGATTATTGTTGTCCAAGAATATGATAATATGGCCCGGGCCCAGGCCAGTCTAGATTAATATTGCAATATTGTGCAAGCCAAGGCAACTACAATGTACATGTACTTCCACAGGCGTTGCATGTAGTTGCGTCCCCTACTTTGCGAGCAGCTGTTTCAGTGTTTGTTAAAGGGGAAGTTAAGGCAAAAATTAAAATTTCACCAGTTGTAGTCTTCGGGGTGCAGAGTCGAATAGTCTTGGTCCGAGAAAGCTGAGACGCTCCTTTCCTACTTGAATCCCAATCGAACTCGCGCACTTCCACCGAAACTGGGTGACTGCGCCCTACTAGATGGGGATTTGTATGCAAAATGTCACTAAAAGCGCCATTTCGTTCTTATAAAAGCACGGATGACCGCGATTGGCCCATATGTTGTAGTCTTTTGGACGCTGAGTCGACTGGTTTTGGTCCGAAAAGGCTGCGATGCAGCGTTCCTCTTTTATTCCCAATCGAACATGGTTGAACAAGCGGTCACGTGCTCCTGCGTACACCAGTCAGCTGGTCACCGTGCCTGCAGGGTACAACTTACTAGCCTATTTGACCTTTTTTGGGTGCAGTCCTGTCACTCGAGTTGAACCTTGGTGTGAAAGTTGTCGCCTGCTGGCGTGGTGACCAGGTGATTTGGGCACCCAGGAGCACGTGACCGCTTGTTCAGCCATGTTCGATTGGGAATAAAGGAGGAACGCTGCATCGCAGCCTTTTCGGACCAAAACTAGTCGACTCAGCGTCCAAAAGACTACAACATATGGGCCAATCGCGGTCATCCGTGCTTTTATAAGAACGAAACGGCGCTTTTAGTGACATTTTGCATACAAATCCCCATCTAGTAGGGCGCAGTCACCCAGTTTCGGTGGAAGTGCGCGAGTTCGATTGGGATTCAAGTAGGAAGGGAGCGCCTCAGCTTTCTCGGACCAAGGCCATTCGACTCAGCACCCCGAAGACTACAACTGGTGAAATTTTAATTTTTGCCTTAACTTCCCCTTTAACTTAAGGCATGTGCTGTGACCATGGTAAATCTACATGATCATTACTGTCCTAAAGTTAAACTTTAGAAACAATTGTTTTAATTCCTTAGAGTAATCGAAGTAAGCCAGCAGCATTTTCACAGGGCTCAGTACTCGGATCATTACAATGATTGAACCCCTGCTACTTCATGACATTGTATTTTTTTTAAACAAAGCACAAACTAACTTCTTGAAGAGTGTCACGGACTCAGGCAGGCAACGGAACAAAAAAAAAAACATTGCGATGTGGAAACTCTAGACTGGAGTTTCCACATCGGTCATCCCAATGTTTTTTTGCACAGTCAACGAAATAACAAAGTAGAATTAAAACTTGAAAGCGGGGTGGAGCACTGAGGTACATGTAGATGCTTTCAAAGACTGCAGTCTGGACTCTGGAACACACGAGACGCCGTGACGAAGCTCCAGCACTATGAAACAGCTATCCACCTACATGTACTTTGAAGTACTATCATAATACCCACCAGAGAGTAGAGCAACACCGGGCCGTGCTTCTCCCTGGTTATTACAGCCGAAGTCACAACAACCGAGTTTTTTTTTTAATTGATTTTTCACGTTAGGATGGATTGCTTGAAATCAGTATGATTATACTCCGATCAGTATGATAATTATTATTCAAAACCGTTGTAAAGTCCCTTATCATCATATCGTTTCCAGTGATCAAGGTAGCTTTCGAGTAAAATAGATAATAACAGTTGTCAGCGGTATGCCCCAGAGAGCCAGAGAGAGGGAGAGCTAGAGTATGTCAGAGATTGCTAGAGCGCCGGGCTACACTGTACAAGAGTGACTTGATAGACAGCAATACTGCCCGGGCACTTTCGCTTTTGTGCGTTGAAAAAATAGATTCATGATGGGATCCAGTAGTATGGCTCAAAGATAGAAGGGGCGGCTATGGCAGCTAGCCATCCTGTAGTTAAGCAGGCACAATGCATGTAGCTATGGCAACTAGCCATTCTGTACACGATGAGGAACGAGACCAGCGGTGCACAACAGCACGACAAAGTTAAGCAGGCACAATGCATGTAGCTATGGCAACTAGCCATCCTGTACACGATGAGGAACGAGACCAGCGGTGCACAACAGCACGACAAAGTTAAGCAGGCACAATGCATGTAGCTATGGCAACTAGCCATTCTGTACAAGATGAGGAACGAGACCAGCGGTGCACAACAGCACACGTGACAAAGTTAAGCAGGCACAATGCATGTAGCTATGGCAACTAGCCATTCTGTACAAGATGGGGAACGAGACCAGCGGTGCACAACAGCACACGTGACAACACAATGCATGTAGCTATGGCAACTAGCCATTCTGTACAAGATGAGGAACGAGACCAGCGGTGCACAACAGCACAACAAAGTTAAGCAGGCACAATGCATGTTCAATTGACAGGGGATGTGCCAACCAGAAAAGGCTATGGCCCCATGGCCACGTACTGGTCTGCGGCTGCGATAAGACGGATAGCATTATTAATTTTGTGAATGAAACGTTGGAGTTAGCGGACAGTTTACAAATATAGACAAGACAAATATCTAGTGCGGCACACCCAGTACCCATATTTTAATTTTTTTTTGTTAAGTCAAGACTTGTGTGTGTGGCAGACTTGTGATCTACACACAGTTCAATGACTTGAAGTATTTCCACTGAAGTTTAAGAAAATCACCGTTGAACGTGACACCTGGCAGCTAGACAAGGAGCCTGCAGCTGCACGGCGAACATGTGCCAGCTTGACAGTGGGACTGCCAGACGATTAGACAGTTGTGTCCCGGCTGCGTGCAGTTGGGCGTGAGGATTGCTCGCAGCGCTGTAGGCCTCTCTCGCACCATTCAATGAGCTTCGCAATGGAGCTGAACGGCATCACAAAAAAAAAGACACACAGCATTACAAAGCAGTACGGTGTAAGGACATATTGATACATTGATACTCAAAGCGTTTTCAAAAATCATGCCTGAATTCCAAGGCAGAGTGAGCAAGGCATCTGTGGTGTGACATAGAGAATGTTGTGCAAAGTCCGTAACCCATGAGTACAAGTAAGGTGGAACATAATTTTATTGCAACTCAGAGCCGCACCCACCCTTGCTATGGATATATTAGGGCACATGGACAAATGCAAAAAACACATGCACATGCACACACACACACATACACACACACACACACACACACACATACACAAACGCACATGTAACTTGTAAACTTCCACACACACACACACACACACACACACACACACACACACACACACACACACACACGCGTGACACACGTGACACATACATACACACACACACACACACACTCACACGTAAACCAAAACATGATCTGCCAGATCAAATAAACATAGCAATGCCCCGGTCAGTAAAGTGTAGCATTCTTCATACGGCTAAAGCATGAGGAGCGCAATCATACCTCATCAAATGGATTTCTCCACACTCCCGATTCAAGCGAGCAAAGAAGTCTGCAGGGGTGCAAGGATCAGAGACAAAACTCATTAGTAAGTCCAAGCATACATTAACGTCCCACCCAGGACATCAAAACACAAACACACACACACACACACACACACACACACACACCTTTGACCTTGACCTTTGACGCCCATCGCCGGAGGCGATGATAGCAATGCTATGGCAGAAGCCATAGCAACTTGTGCTGGGATTGCACCATTCAACAGCTTGCAAGGCTGAAGAATTGACCGTCACTATTCAGCCTGGTCTACACCATACAGCTATTTGAAGTGACTTTTTCTGGCCAGTGAATCCCTATTTTTGGTCTTTTTCTTTTTTCTTTTTTTTTTTCTTTTTTTTTTTCCCACACACACATCACACTACATACTCCGGCATGCACTGGCTGTTGGTAACCACCCAGGAGAATGAAAGAAAAGTCAGGAAGAGTCTGAGAAAGAGAAGAAAGACGTGTGTGACCATAATCGTCGGGAATCGAACCCGCAACCTATCGATTGGAAATCGCTGCACATACCACTGCACCATATGGGACACACACACACACACACACACACACACACACACACACACACACACACACACACACATATACACACACACACACACACACACACACACACAACTATTTCACACGTTGGCTGCCTCCATCGTCAGTTCATCTACGGTAGCTGCACTGAGTACATCCAGCCCTGGCTGTACTTGAAAGACGGCAGCCAAGAAGGTCAACGAGGAAGAGAAAAGCCACCCAGCAAAGAGTTAAAAAGATTCCCTGACCCAGGACAGAAAACTGAACAATGATCTTCTCTTTGAGTGTTTGTGTTGCTGTGGTTTGTATTCAACTGCATGTAGATGTTGGCACTTTCTTGTTGTTGTTGGATCTCCTACCTTTTCTCATATGAGCTCTGAATGCTGCAGGGATTACTAAAGTCAGACCAGGCCATCGCCCCCTTAGTTGGTTTGGAGAATCCACGTATCAAAAAAAAAGAACCGTTCACAGGAGAACCTAGCAAAGAAGCCGGTTAACCTACAGGTTTAGCATACCCTTTTCTACTGTGCCGCAAACCTCAAAGTTACAACATTTTGTCTGGTGCAAACAGTGAACAATGTTTTGGTAACTATCTTGTTAGCTATGTCGACAGTGCCCCGGACAAATACCGGCCGGCCTCGTGAGTCCACCAGTTCAAGTGGCGTGGAGTCGTTCAAGAGCCAGCTATTCATTCCGAGTCAGAGTCAAGCACAATCCCGACTTCTGCTTGGTTGAGCTAGCACCTCGGAACATGCTACACACTCCACAACAATTCCACACTTTTCTACGAAACTGTCAGCCCTTAACTCAATTATCCAGGGTTTATGGCACAAAACTTCCAGGATTTAGTTTGAGGGAGTTTCCAAGGACTTCCAGGGTCAAGACCATATTTCAGCGCATTTCATGATCTGCAAGAGCGCCATGTATGCTAGTGATAGAAGTACTAGTATTGCGCCACAAACCATGAGTAGGGCAAAATCGTGAGGGATCTGTTCAGCATGCAAGGTGCGCACCGAGATAGTCATGGTAAGCAGGCGCGTGCACCGTATGAGTTTTTTTTGTGTCTGGAAACCACCTTTTTTCGGGCAATCTTGCCAAAGGAAAAGCGTGCCTACGCTCGTACTGGATTGGTTATTCTGCATACGCGTCGATCGACGGGCAGTTTACAGTACATTGACTATGTCCTTATTTGGAAGTGAGAGAGAGAGAGTTGCTTTGCATGCAGTTCGAAATACATTATTCTCTCTTTCTTCAGTGGAGAGTAGCCACAGAGAGATCGATCTCTAGGCTAGCTCTGGTTCGCTCCTGGATTGGCGATGACGTTCAAGAAATCCGCTTTGCCTCGAAATTTGAGTCAAGCACGCACGATGCAAGTCAGTTCAAGGATATGATTGACGATATCTCCTTCCAAACTGTTGACTCAAATCAAGATGACAGCCTTTCGTTCTCGCTCATGTGCGCAGCAGAGATGTTCGTCAAAAACGTTGTCGACTGGAAGACGTAAAAATGTGCGTCCATGATCCACTTGCGCTGCTTCAGAACGAAGCGCTGCTCGGGCCGCGACTCAAGGACGCGGGGCTTCGCTTTTCTCCCGCGAGCTTCCATCGAAGCAAGGTCCATAACTCTTTATTGAAATCATGTGGAACATTGCCAATACATGCCGAAAACTTCGTCATAAGAACAGAAAGAAAAATACGTCGAATGTAAGCAGTGTTTTGATGTAACAAACATGCCTGCATGGAGTGGACTAGTGAAGTACCATAGACATAGTGTTATACCGGCTTATAGACTGTAGTGTATACATGTAGCCTGGGCGGCTAGGCCTATCAAACTTTTACGGGTTTGACAAACATGTGATTGTATATGAGTGCATTGACCTTTGCACCCTCTTTGCAAATACTTTTTGAAGTGCTGGTATGTAAAAGGTAACCCGTTTTATCCTGCTACCGGTTATACATGTACCAACATTTCCATGTAACATCGTCCCCTCCCTCCATTCCTCGTTACTCTTATTTCTCATTCCTCGTTACTCTTATTTCTGTCCTTTCTACCCCTGTACCTGGTTGCCCTCTTAGACGCGTTTGTGCCGGCATGATCTGATGATAGCAGTCGGACGAGCCCCGCATCTCATCAGCACCAGTGTTCATTGGTTCCCTGCACCCCTGATCTTGAGTCCCCCCCCCCCCCCCCCCTAGCCTCCTCCCTAGCCCTCGCCGTTAACTCCGACGGGATGTTCGGGGGATGCTCATGTGCACAAAATACATAATTATTATACAGTGGGTCTCGAGAAATTTTTTACCAACTCTAGAAACCCCCCTTTCAAGACTCGGTGCACGCCACTGGTGAGTCTGATTATCTAGATTCTAGGCAAGTGAGCTGAGAGCATGGCTGCAGTCTGGAACACTTGTCCTTGCACAGTGTCCTGTGTCCTGCCACCTGAATGACTCTGCGTGGGGTATATACCCAGCAGGCAAACACAACACTTTAGTCGCACAAATGCTGGGAAGGAGATAACCATAAGTTAGACTGCCGGGCCCCGGATAGAGATACGCGCTAACGTGCATACCTTGCGTCTCCGTCATCTTGCGATCAGCACGCTGCCAGTGAGTGACGGCGTCGATAGCGTGAGTCATGAACTTGCAGGTGGTCATACCCGCCATGACCAACCTCTGCGGGAACTGCACTGTGCTGGTAGGGGTGCTGGGCCCAACCACATTATTGCCGGTTTTCCCTGTGCTGCCGCCAGTGCCGTTCGTGCCGTGGGCGGCTGTGGCTGATGGAGCGCGTCCAGCTTCTGGTGGCGTTGGCACTAGGCTGGCTGGCGACGGGTTGGGTGAAGGTCCTCCGTTGGAGCTGCCACCACTATTAGAGATACACATACAAACACACACACACAGTAGATTGTGTTACATACATGCGTTCACGCCTAATACCATGGTTACGCATTACCTATCACGTATGTAACAATATGAACTTGCTTAAAATCTTTCATTTCAGCATAGACTATAGTTTACATTCAAGTTGTAAAACGAAAAAAATCAAAAAAACGATGGTTATACACGAAAAGATAGGAGACACCGGTCACCCACCTGGTGGGGAACCCATTTCCCGGTTGCACCGGCAGAAACATGTGCACATGTCAAGCTTCTACTTACCTTGAAGTTGGTGGAGACACGGGCTGATTGGTGGCCTTTTGCTACATAGCACAAGCAAAGCACACCAAGACACACAGCAGGCGGAGGTCCAGTGAGTTCCAGACCCAACCCTACAGACGTGCCTAATACCTATGCATACACAATGATCTTGCTACCGTATCTTATCGGTTGGAATTTGACCCCCGTAGTTGGGGCCTCCATTTCCCAGTAAAAGGGCAATTGAACCCCGGCGTTAAGTTGACTACCCCTTTTATTAGTTTGGTTTCCGGCCATAAAAGGTCGACTTATAACCGGCATAATAGGGCAAAGAACTTAGCAACATATTGAACACACAGAATAAAGTGCATGTACAAATCCACCATCAGAAGAGTGGCAATCCCCTTCAGTGCAAAAGCTGTAGCAGTGGTGGACACGGGCAGCATCAACAAGCCGTACTGCATAAGCAACGACAAAATTGCATGTACATGTAAGGCCCGACCCTGGCCCCTGACCAACACCGGCAACATATGGTGTCCGTGATTCTACGGTGTAGGAGCTTCGGGTGTGCCGTTATGAGAGTATGGAATTTCGAAGTAACGTTGCTATTCCGACAGTCACAAGCAATGCCTCACCGTATTGACCGACTTGAACGTTTCGTTGAGAGACTGCAGGAACACAAAGCCAAATGGACGCACAAGTACATACTAAGTACTTGCAGGATTTTTAATCCATATTTTCTTCTTTTCCTTTTCCTTTCCACTTCTTTTTCTTTTTCTTGCCAGCCAGGGTTGGCTATGAAAAAAGAACCTGAAATCGCCATGCAAAGTCACCATGGGCTGCCGCAGTCATGTATTGTTTAGAATAAAATTAAACTCGGATGGAGAGCCAATGATTAAAATTAAAAAAAGAGAGGACCATAAGTTTACAAGTTCAATTCGTTTTGTCCAACACTACCGATTATAAGCAGGATAATGTTGAGTCAAAATGTGCAACAATTAGCACAAAATTGAGGCTGATGTGATACTGACATTCAACAACCTGATGCTTAGCTGCATCATGTCTGGAATGCGCAAACCAACAGCCTTCCCACAACAGGGTCCACCCTGCAACTTCAGACGTCCACTCCTACATAGAGTTCGGCCCTCGAAAGGGGTAAGCCCTGGCAGCAATATTTGCGTTCATTCAGTAATGCTAGAGAGGATTTTCAGAGCGATACTTTATTCGGGTATTCGATGCTGGGCTTAATTTACGTGTATGCTCGTGCGAGGTTTGTGCTCTGCATGGTTTCCACTCTTCGGCGTCTACACCAGAAGAAAGTATTCAGGCATAAGGATGAGAGAAGCTAAGGACACGACGACAGTGCTGCTCAATGAAATCCAGTCGCGTCATTCAAGTTTGCGCCTTACATCATTTGGCAACCCATTGTTTGCAACTTCGGAGGCCTAAGGCTGCGCAACGCCCGGCAAATACTTGAGTGGCGCGACTGGATTTCATTGAGCAGGACTGTGTCTGGCTGCACCACATGTAGTTACACAGAGCGGTGTGTGTCATAACACCTTACATGATTCTCCTTCTTGGTGACTTCCAGGCGCATCTCGAAGATCTTCATGGACAAGACAGCCATGCAGCGTATGGATATGATGAGGATCTCCTGCCTCACATCGCTTTTCTCGAGCCTGCTCAACACTGAAATGAAACTGCAGTGAAATAATACACACACCGGTACACACCACAGTTCTTACTCTTTAAAATCTTTTAAAAACCTTACACTCCCATTGCCAAAATGATCCTAAAGCAGACACAATAGCAACTAGTGCTGGGATCGAACTATTCAACAGCTTGCAAGGCTGAACTATTGACTAACCATAGCAACTGGTGCTGGGATCGAACCATTCAACAGCTTGCAAGGCTGAACTATTGACTAACCATAGCAACTGGTGCTGGGATCGAGCCATTCAACAGCTTGCAAGGCTGAACTATTGACTAACCATAGCAACTGGTGCTGGGATCGAACCATTCAACAGCTTGCAAGGCTGAACTATTGACTAACCATAGCAACTGGTGCTGGGATCGAGCCATTCAACAGCTTGCAAGGCTGAACTATTGACTAACCATAGCAACTGGTGCTGGGATCGAACCATTCAACAGCTTGCAAGGCTGAACTATTGACTAACACTACACCATACATCTTTAGAGTTGAACTCCTACTTTTTGGTCTTTGTTCTTTTCTTCTTCTAGTTCCCCCATTCCCTCACACACGCACGCACGCACACACGCACACACACACACGCACGCGCGCGCACGCACCCATCCACCCACACACGCGCACACACACACACACACACACACACACACACACACACACATACACACATCACACTCCGGCATGTTTTTTTGCTGAATGTGTGATTGGCACCGTTCCAGCACCAGCATCACAAGCCAGTAACAACCACTTCCCTTAGCCTAGTCCCCACTGTAACAACCACTTCCCTTAGCCTAGTCCCCACTGAAACAACCACTTCCCTTAGCCTAGTCCCCACTGAAACAACCACTTCCCTTAGCCTAGTCCCCACTGTAACAACCACGTCCCTTAGCCTAGTCCCCACTGAAAGACTAACCCGAGTATGCCAATTGTCTCAGTGTAACACGAGCGTGCAGCCTTCCTCTCCTCGGGGTTGTTGCTGGCCATTGCCTGCCCCTAGGATGCACACAAACAAATAAGGAGTACATATAATAGGATGCAATGCGTGTGTTTCAAGGCCAATCTGTGTACTCAAATCACAAGACATCATGTTAAACAAACTAATGATGGTGAGTACCTTATCCCAGTATCGAATCATATACAGACGGAGGCCGGAATGTTTAGGGCGGCAAAGAATAGTGTGATTGGCTCAACACGTTGGATTAAAGTTGTTCGCGAATCTCCACTAGCCCAGTTTCTGCCACATATCCAGACAATAGAACAACGCCAAATACTGGATCACTGATTTGTTTATATTGTGATTAAAGAGAAAAGAGGCACTGCCAAGAATAGAATGAAAACTGAGACACGAGGTTCATCCGATCAGTCCAAGTCTGCTCCTCACGTGTACGAGTACACGAGGTTCATCCGATCAGTCCAAGTCTGCTCCTCACGTGTACGAGTATGCACATTACAACAGTCTCCCAAACGTGGCTGCCGCATGATGCAGCGTGACTAAAAGGGAAAAAAACTTGAGTGGATAGCGGATCCACGGGGCTCGAGATACACGGCAAGTAGGAGTTACTAAGAAAAAAATGACGGAGCAGAACGGATTTACATGCTGCTGGAAAGAATAACAGTTCATTCTCAAATACAAGCACACTGTCCAACTTATTGATGTCATCAATTCTACTTCAAAATCATCAAAAGTGGTAACTTCGGCCAAAACCTACCTCCATAGCAGCTGCATAGCGAATGAAGAGCATAGCAGCCTCCAAGTACTTTGCAGCTCTCCTGTGAATTGGCAGCTTCTGCAAAAGGAACAGAATAAATCCAAGAACAATTAAAAAATTGTGTCTTCCCTCAAACCAGTGAATAAATTACTTCCTACGGAAACAAAACTTCGTGAATTTTTTTCACTACTTTTCGTTGCTGTTATTTCGTTCTCTCTCTGGTTCTGTCAGCCTGAAACACTGACATAACATTTCGGAATTGTAGGAAAGCATGATTCATATTTTGGAGAGCCGACAGTCGTCACAGAGCAAGGGTGTCGACGCTGCACACAAAGTAAAGCGAACATGTTTTTTTTCTTCATTTTTCATCCATCTTGCGCAATGGGAAGAAAAGCACTGCGCTCACTGCTCGTCGTAGCTATTTTTTTGTTCAGAACTTGACAGAGCACGACAATGGCACCGAGGAGCAAGAAGAGTGGAAAACGAATAGCAATAGCAGCCAGCGTTTTGAAATCTCCGCCATCCCCGAAACACCTGTCTGCATGCGAACAGGTCGGCGGCAAGATGTCAAAACTCCAAAACGCAGAGATGTGACAACCGTCACTTCGCGCAGCAGAGCAAGATGAACAAGTTCAAAATAGAAGTCGTCCGGCCACTGCAGAGCCCAGACCTCAACGTGGATGATCTCGCCTTTTCCAGCCGCCTCGACAATGTGTCCTTGGTCGCAAAGGAGAAGGCGAGATCTGATCGCGGCAGTCGGGAAGTGCTGGTACGACTATGATATCCCTCGGAGGAAATTTGAAATGTTTGGCGTTGCCCGTGTCTGTTGTTCGGAGGCAATCTCGAGTGAGAGCGGAGGCGGTAATGAGTACCAGCGCTGCAGCGCTACCGCGGTCTCCGTCGAGATGTTCGGGAAGGCGTTCAGGTAACAGCGAAGACGATCAGGGGCGCAGAGAAGCTTCTCCGTGACATACGACATCGCATCGATCGACCTGCCACTTGGAACGGTTTCAGCGGTGATGAGTCGAGCGATAGCAACCCAGACTGAGACTCTACTCCCACTAATCGATCCTGTAGATATTGTAGATATGTAGATAGAATGTGTTGAAGTGTTTCTCTTCCAAAGGAACACTTTTGTTGAGCACAGCCACTCCTTGAAAAGTCATGTCAAAAATTCACGAAGTTTTTGTTTCTGGAGGAAGTAAAAATCAGTGGAAAAATCTAGGGTTCGGAGGTATAAGCAAATTTGTACTAACAGTACGATGTGCAGCTAACACATCACATCACCATACCATTCTAATGCCTTCTACAGACACTGGAAAGCTGTACTTCAAGTAAAATGTCATGTTTCCAATGATACAATGCATGGCTCACATAGTGGACGTAAACTGTGTGTGTGTGTGCGGGGGGGGGGGGGGGGGGGGGGGCATGATCGAAATTCCAGAACGTACTTTGTTGTCGCCTTCATACTTCAGTTTCTTCGCTTGCGCCAGGTACTCAGACTTGTTCTGCTGGGGAGATTGAGTGCTTCCAATATTCGACGGTGACCACAAAGCGCCAACGGACGGTGAATGGGTACGCACTGTGTTCGACGGAGACTGGCGCTGCTGCTGCTGCGATGTTCCGTTAACACGCTGATTACTATCAGCAGTATTGCTGCGTGCTGCAGACGTTGTTTCCGGTGCGCCGTCCGTTGCGCGGCTCCGTTGCTGCCCTGTTGACCTCGCCGAGGCACCATCAGCTGGTATGTCAAAGGCTGACCGGCCATTGCGTTGCAACGGATACCTTTCTGGTGGGCTGCGAGTCGCTACAGCTCCTCGTTCACCGCCAGGTCTTGTGCTTGCCTCGCGCTTCTTCTTTGCTGGCTGCTCAGATGATGGCTCACCCCGACGGCGTAGAGGGTTTTCAACTTTCTTTGATGGTCCGTTAAGCATATCATCAGTTGTATTAGCGCATGACGGTCGCTTTCTTTTTGCAGACTTGTCCGGTGTAGGAGTACTTTCGTCCTGAGAGAGAGAAGAATAGACCGCTGTGAGCTTAATTAAGAAGCACCATCTGTACCAACTACAGTGCTGGCAACGGAAATCCGACCCCCGAGCGGTGGGTTCACATTCTAGCGGTCTCTGTTTCGTAGTTTTACCATCCCGTGTTGCGTCTTTGCGATGTGAGCGCACCGCTCAGGGGGTCGGATTTCAGTTGCCAGCACCGTAGTAGCATAGGTACTGCTGTCATAGTGTGATGTACAATGTACTGCTGTCATAGTGTGATGTACAATGTAGTGCTGTCATAGTGTGATGTACAATGTACTGCTGTCATAGTGTGATGTACAATGTACTGCTGTCATAGTGTGATGTACAATGTACTGCTGTCATAGTGTGATGTACAATGTACTGCTGTCATAGTGTGATGTACAATGTACTGCTGTCATAGTGTGATGTACAATGTACTGCTGTCATAGTGTGATGTACAATGTACTGCTGTCATAGTGTGATGTACAATGTACTGCTGTCATAGTGTGATGTACAATGTAGTGCTGTCATAGTGTGATGTACAATGTACTGCTGTCATAGTGTGATGTACAATGTAGTGCTGTCATAGTGTGATGTACAATGTACTGCTGTCATAGTGTGATGTACAATGTACTGCTGTCATAGTGTGATGTACAATGTAGTGCTGCTGGTGGTATGTCTCGGGGCCAATGAGCTCATGCCACCTCTGGCATTATATGCAACCCACTTCGGCTGTCTTTATCGAGCCACTCAAAGAACATTGCAACCATTGCTGTCTGAACACATCTGAAGTTTGATAAAGCAGCAAGGACTTCATCACGCGGTCACACATATAATATACGTGCACACACTAGCACCTACACCCTGTTCCTGTAGGATCGGTATGCTGCTTCCACACATTGTCATAGTGATATTATCATGATGAAATTTTCGTTCTGATGGGAAATTGGGAAGTTTTCAACACCAGCGCATGCATGGCAATCCCATGTCCTCCTCCTTGCACCCCCTCCCCAACTTCATCCGGGCACTCATGCACTTCACTCCTTACCTCCTCTTGTCGTGCACGTTTGACTTGTTGTTTTGCCTGGAGGTGACAACATACCAGATCAGAAAGCAATTGTTGATCAGTGAGATGAATAGTGTAAGAATAACAAAGCAATTAAAATAAAAGAAAACACATGGGAACGAGTTATGAAGCAACTATCCACGACTGTAACAAGATAATAAGCAGTTAGAAAGTGCGATAACAGGGCACAAGACTGACATGTTACTGAGACATTCAACGACCTGCTGACTGCTTATTATCTTGTTACAGTCGTGGATAGTTGCTTCATAACTCGGTTCCATGTGATTTCTTCTATTTTAATTGTATTTATTGGCTCATTATCCGAGTTAAATAACAAAGCAAGCTAGTTTTTTTTTGAACTGGTATTCTCCTTCATGCCCCCCCCCCCCCCCCCCCAATACAATGTGACAAACGGCATGTGACAGGCTGGGAAAGAGAGACAGAGAAAGTGAAGGACACCGTCACCTACTGAATCATACTGAGAGAGACACAGTCACGATAAGACACAGAGAGAGAGAGAAAGAAAGAAAGAGAGAGAGATAGTGTGTGTGTGTGTGTGTGTGTGTGTGTGCGTGTGTGTGTGTGTGCGTGTGTGCAAGCTGTTGAATGGTGTAATCCCAGCACAAGTTGCTATGTCAAACATAGCTGTTCGCTATCATCGCTTCCGCGATGGGCATGTCTGAGGTCTGAGGTGTGTGTGTGTGTGTGCGCGTGGCCGGCAGATCGAGGAGCACATCTCCTCTCTCCAGGTTCGCAGGATGTGGGGCGATATGGAGGAGATCGCGGATAAAGTCAGAGTCCGCCGGCTTCGATGGCTTGGCCACGTGTCCCGCATGCAAGATCGGATCCCCCGTCAGCTGCTGTACGGCGCGTTACCCTCCAAACGTCCACCGCATGGACCCCGTAAGCGCTGGAAAGACTAAGCGAAGTGCGACTTGATGGCTGTTGGCGTTCCTCTGGAGCAGCTTAGTGACATCGTCCAAGATCGACAGGGATGGCGGGTCACCTGCCGTGACGCTGTCGACGCTATTGTCCAGTCCCGCATGGAGCCTGTGGCGAAGCCCCTCATCTGTGGCACTTGTGCGCGCAGTTTTCGTCGGCCACAGGATATTGCGAGGCACAAGTATAACGCTGTTCGCGCGGCCCGCGTGCACTGAGTATGGCGTTCCCCGCCCGGTGGAAAACACGTCTCCTGGTCTGCCCCGTATGGGGCCACATAGCCAGTCATGGCAGTGGTAGAAGGAAGGAAGGAAGGGCGTGTGCGTGCGTGTGTGCGTGTGTGTTTGTGTGTGTGAGTGATAGAGAGAGGGGCAGTAGACAGGCAGACTGACAGATAAAGAAGCAGAGAAAAAAAGAGAACACATGGGAGACTCGGAGAACAAACAGACACACAGTCAAATAGACAGACAACGGAGAACACATACCACCGTGCCGGGGATGTTAGCCACAGGCGACAGGGAACGCTTCTGTTGTGGCTTGCGTGACGAATGCACGCTGTTGCTCGTTTCCAACGTCGGCTTGGGGAACCTGTTTGCTGCGCTGTCGCTGCTCGGCTTCTTTGCTTTGACGGGATTGCCGGGGCTACGGCTAGTGGCCAATGCCGACTTCTTGGCACTGTTCTTATGTCTCATGAGCATCTCCCGGTCGGCGGGGTCATCTTCAGAAGTGGGGAAGTCATAGTCACCCGAGCTGGAGTGCGGACCTTTCGGAACTGGGCTCTGAAAACAGGATATCAAATCACATAATGTCGCATGCAAGTATTTTTTAAAAGACGGAGAAAAAAAGAGCCGTAAACACATGCTACATGCACACACACACGCACACACACACACATGCACACACACACACACACACACACACACACACACACACACACACACACAGGCATGCGCGCGTGCACACACTTGTACTTGCTCGCTGCCAAAACTGGTCGTGTGAGTCTCCCAGGAGAGGGGAGAGAGACTAAAAAGGAATCTTGGAAAGATGACCCAATTGGCTATTGAACTACCCAGCGGGCGACACTGCCCTGGGTGGACTTGGAAATGATCCCACTTATGGGCTCACCACACCTCAGTTAGTTGGTGAGGACAAGGTGCAGAAAAAGGATTGACGGCATCAGGGTATCCGTCCCGGGTTCCAACTGCAGCTACCCCTGCTCACAGTGAAGGCAATACTTGCTACAAGTGTGAGTTGCAAAATCAGAATGGATCTAATATACACTTCCCTAGTACCATTAATTACCCAAGAGTTAATCATGTCCACACGCACATACAATGAGTGTGGACACACAGCACCATTCGATTGCCATGCTTACATTCAGTGGGCTTATAGTCTCCAGTGGCTGCTTCTCGCCTGTGAGTTTTTGAAAACTCTCGATAGGTGAAATGCGCTTATTAATGTTTGCCTTTTGTTGCCACAGGTCACGCGGTTGTTGCGGCTTCGGCTCCGGGTGGTGCAGCTTTGAAGCTGGTGTGACTGGCACACTGGTGACGGAAACAGGGCTAGGTATTCTTGTGATTGTCGCAGTGCTAGTGCTGCCCCTGCCACTGCTTGCTGCTACACTTTGTGTGGTGTCGGTGGTGGTCTGGGTGGCTTCCAACTCCTCCGCGTCTTCCTCTTGCTCGTCATCAGAACTATCATCATCATCATCATCAGAGGAAGAGGAGGACGATGACGATGACGAAGCACAGGATGAAGAGACAGATAAATCATGATTGTCATCATGAAAGTAGTTTGATCTCTTGCCAGCAACATTCTGCGTGTCATCAACAGGTTTCTTGCCATGGTCGTCATTCTCAATAACATCATCGTCGTCTCCGTCACTACCACTGGAACTGGACGTGTCAGTATCCGTACCGCTGCCATTATTGCTGTCGCTGCTGGAACCACTGCCACTGCTGTCGCTGTCACTACTGCTCCCACTACCAGAGTCATCCTCACTGTTTGAGTCCGAGTGTATGGCATCACCACCATCACCACTAGCAACCAATGGAGGCTGTGGTTTCTGGGATACATCTGGTGCGCTTAAGCACTCGCACTCAGAGTCGGAGTTGTCACTATCGGAGTCACTGTCTTCATCAGAAGAGCTGGCAGTCAAGTCAGCAATAAGTGTGCCAGTCACGGGAACAAAACTGGCAGGGCCAGAGCGTTGCTCCGTTCCTGAAGATGGCACGGCTGTTACTTGAAATGTGGGTACCTTAGGCACCTGCGGTGGAGATGATGATATGCTATCATCTGAGCTTGAAGCCGAGCACGGGTTAGAAGACACGATACCAAACGGCCGCTTGGCTTCGTGCTGCCTGACCGTGGGCGTTTCCGCAATGGCCGTCACTGGCGAGTAGGAACCTTTACTGTTCATCTCCTACACACATCAACACATCACCGCAATACATTATTCCTCTACTCCTCTTCCCCCACACGCTATTTTCAGCCAACTGCACAATAAATTTCCCATAGCGAAGGGTTACAGGTGCTGATACTCAGATTTCTCCAGGTATGCATAAAGGGAGCCGAAATACCGTATTTCCCCGTAAGGTAGTTCTCCCCAATGACTTAGTACCCCCCCCCCCCATAAAAAATACACTTTCCACTGCCGAGGTTATCACCCCGAAGGACAGCCCCCCCCCCCCCCCCCGAAAGATAGTAAGTTCGTACCCGTCCTACATGTACAGACACCGTACAGTACATACATCATATGCACGGACACTAGAGTTGCGCAGGCTTCCCACTGCGTGTCATTTACCCCCGATAAAAAAGTACTCCCCGAAAGTTAGTACTCATGTGGCTGCTAAGTTCGAAAGTTAGTACGTACTAACTTACGGGGAAATACGGTAGTATTATTAATAATAAATTATTGAAATTGTTATAAATCCTATAAAGTATTCATAGTATGTAGATCCAGCTGGTCCTAGTGACTGTGCTTTTGAAAGGCTATTGTCCCTTGTTGGCAATCAAGTCAAATTCACCAAGTCCATCAGATTTTCCCATCCAGCATGACCTTCTCTGGCAAGCTTTTTTTGTAGGCGAAACAGCTGTCGGGAGGTATTTCAGTATCAGAACCTGTAACCCTTCGTTGTTGGATTGTTTGGTGTGTGTAATGGCTCCCGACAAGAGTACGTAACCCCGAGAGTGTGCAGCCGCGAGCGTCTCCACAACCCTCATCCAGTGCTGCAGCAGCAGATCGTCACATCCGGTGTGACATGGTTCAACAGGTTACGCTGGCAAATGGTGCAAAGTGACCACAAGAGAGTTGAACCCGAAGCAGAGTTGCGCACGCGCCTGCATCTATCATGCACTGGGTGCAAATAATGTGTGCGAGCTCGTAACGCAATGTGAAGTTCATCCATCACAGACCCATTAGCTGGAGTTGCACGCTCTTGGGGGTTAGGTACTCTTGGTACCAAGCGTAGCCGCTACTAGGCTGAAGTACATATGTAGGAGAGGAAGTAGGGGAATATTATTATAATATTATTATTGAAAGGCCGAATGGTATCGCTCAACCCTTTATAAAGTCAACACATTGCAAATAAAAAATATCTGCAATTGTCCATGGGCGATCCAATGAAATGGCATACCCTGAGTGAAGTGTAGCCTACATGTACACTGCTTGCTTTTCTTTCAGCTAGTGTGAGCACGGGCTAAGTCAGTACAGATGCAGCACGTGCAAGTCCTGGGAGAATACCACCTCCAGCACAGCATCAGGATCCGTCTGCTCGAGTTGAAACGGTTCAGTCTCTGCAGCTGATGCTACCTCTCACTTGCATGCCGGTGTCACCGGGTATACGCCGACACAGCCATTTAAAGTCGCAAGACCCTGGCTTTGCCCAACTACTGTCAGGCTCCCACATCCCGTACTTCAACCCATAACCTTTCTTCCCCATTGCATCAACATTGTTCACGCTTTCCGTATTAGACCCCGTGACATATATTCCCCAGGTCGAATGGTGACCAGTATCTGGTAAGCTTTCCCACTTTCGACATGCTGCTGCACATGCAATATTCCATGTGCAGCAGCATGTCGAAAGTGCCACACAACCAGAAACCCCTGGCGCTGCCAACAGCCTCCTCCTAGATCCTGCCAACATGCTGTCAGGCGAACCTGTCAGGCAAACCTGTCAGGTGCATAGGTGTACAAAAGCACCATAAGAACAGTAGTACATGAGGCCAGCTCAAGTCATGACCTGCTGAAAAGTCTGTCATGCATCATGAGTTGCACAGACTACGTCCTACCCCTACGGGGCCGTATACAGGTGTATGATTATGTGTTTATGGTAGGAAATCTGGGCCACAGAAAAGGACGTACTAAACAGGTGTATGCAATACCCGGGTACGAACTAAGTGAAATCCACTGTAAGTGTTACAAATCCACAGGGCACAGCGTTTCAGATCCTTACTGGAAGCTCTGACGTATGGTACACTGGCCTCTCCACAACGGAGGGTACTTACAGCAAATATGGTGGTCATCTTTTTCGTGTCGACCACCAGCCCTTGGCCTTTCTTCTTGGCCTGCATACATCAGTGTAAGAAAAGAACACCATGTTATCAATGCCTATCAGCATTATGAGTACCGGCAGGGGGAAACGTGCGGCAGTGGCAGGGAGAGCCATAGCTGCAAGCTGTTTGTGCCACGGGTTTGAATGCTTTTGTAGCATTAGCACTAAGAGAGAGAGAGAGAGGCCATGTTGGGCACCATGGCCGGAAGATCTGAACAGGACGGAGCAACCGCCGGGCACAGTTAGACCATGCAACTATTGAGGTGGAACATTGGCATGAGCCGGGGCAGGTGCCGGCACCCGATGATCACTCACGTCAGCACTGAGTGACCTCCATCCCATATGGCATCAGCACTGAGTGACCTCCATCCCATATGGCATCAGCACTGAGTGACCTCCATCCCATATGGCATCAGCACTGAGTGACCTCCATCCCATATGGCATTAGCACCTTTCACAGTAGGCCGGGAAATTGACTAGGTGAGGGTCGGGATGGGGCTGCTATCTTCTCTTAACAGATCAATATGGACATTTATTATTGGCTCAGTATCCGAGTCGATATGGAGATCAAAAAAATTGCAAGTGCCTCCTTGTCTGGATTGCTTGTGCTGGCAGCAAAATCAATGGAACGATGTAGAGTCAACGGACAATTTGATACAAACAGCTTACAGAGCTAATTTTCTACATCAGAAAAGAAATAAATTAATGCACTCAATGAACACAGGGAAACTGTTAACGATACAGTCAAGTTCATCGACTTCTGCTGTGGTATGTTCCTAGCATCCCTACTGAGTGCATAAGAAAGTGTCCGTCTGCTACAGCACAACTCATCCCTGCATATATACCGTAGTTTCCGGAGTGTTAGCAGCTCTTTATAATGCATCAACTGAGAACTCAAAAATCGCCCCTGCGGCTTATACTCCGAATGAGGAACTTGACTCGACCAGCACTGGAGTGCTCCACGTACATGGAGTGCTTCACGTTCATGTACGGTATAGCATGCCCAATGCTGTCATTCTACTGCTTTGCAAGTACTGCACTCCACCATTGCATTAGCATGAAACTTCTATGAATGTACTGTCAGTTCTGAGTAAAGGACAAGCTAGGGGAATAATGCTGGAATGTGTCGTGCTCATCAACTTTTGAAACAGGTATTGCCGGGTACATATGTATGAACCGATACCAAATAAATCAATTTGATCTGATATTAGTAAAAAAGAGAAAAAAAAACCCACATGAGAACGAGTAATGCATCTGATATTTCATCACATTTGTAACGCTGGGATGGTAAATTCAACACAATTCACAGTCTGTCATGCGGCTGAATGTCAGCAAAGATACGAATTTAAGCCTCGAAGGGGGGGGGGGGGGTGCGGCTTATGCCCCGTTGTGGCTAACACTCTGGAAAATGCAGTACGTGTACCTGAAGTGCTGTTCTACAGCATCACAACCCATCCGTCCTGCATACACACGCTGCCTACATTGTACATACCTGAGATGATTTAGTAACAGCCGATTGTCGTATGTTTGCTGGATTTATCCCATGCTGTTGAGACTCCTGCTTCTTGCCAGCCTTCTTGGTCTTCCCCGAGCCGCATGAGAAGAGTTTTTCTGATGGGGAAGTACTCCGCTTCTTTGCCGCTATCATGGCTTTAGTCGCTAAAGCAGAATATTCCTTTACCTTTAGTTTATTGGACTGAGTGACAGTGGGAGCGAGGTCCGCTGCCGATGCAGCTGCCGTCGCGCTATCATCAATCACGGCGGGGGAAAAGGTATCGCTGGGCACTTTCGGCTTCGTCTGATGGGCTACGTTGCCATTCTTGACAGTACGAGACACGCCAACCTGCGTGGCAGCCACCTTCTCTTTGCTAGACTCATCCTTCGTGGGTGATATCGAGGCTATAGCCCAGCTTGTGCTGAGATCGATGGACAATGGCATTGCGGCTGCCATCTGTTGCCGATAGCCGGAGGATTGAGTGTTTGCCTTGACCTTGGAGGATAGTGGGGAGGGAGCATGAGATTGAGGTGTTTTACCTGCACCCGCAGGCTCAAGAGAGAACAGCTTTGCTCCTTCGGCCTTGCCTTGATGTACGGTTGGCACTTTGTGGCTGCTCGCACTTTTTTCTTTCTCTGTTGCTTGTCCGCTATTTGATCTGATCGGGGTGACTGAAACTAATGAGTGCGTTTTAGAGCTGGCTTTGGGCTGTTTAGTTGAAATACTCGATTGCGAGACTCCGAGCTCATCTTGTGGCATACTTGAGCTCTCGGTTGGAGAAACACGGCTGGAGACAGGTTGCTTAGACACGGAGTGCTTTTCCACATGGCCATGGCTGCCTTTGTTGCTACTGCTGGTTAGACTGCTGTTGGATTTGCCACCTTGGCGCATGGTGTCCTGAGGACTAACCTCACTGCTGCTACTTCCGACACTCGGCACCTTCTTAACAGAGGATGTTCCAGACTGGGAGTGCAATGACCCAGTCTTGCCCATAGTCCCTTGCTTTCGGGCTTCGCTGCTTTTGCTAGTTGCACTGCTGCTGCTGCTGCTGCCAGCATCACTCTTCTTTTGCTTCGGGACCTGAAACAGCTGTCCAGCGCGCTGACTATCGTTTTTTCGTGCTTGTTCCTTGAGCTTTTGAACTTGAAGTCGATGGGTAGGTGGCCTATTCAATGGCGCGGAAACCCTGTTTGAGGCGCCCTCGGCAAGCAAGTTGGGCCGCACCATATCTGCACCACCACCACTGGTTTCCCCGGCAGGTCCTGACGGCAGTGCCTTGCTGCTGGTGGTCGTGTTCTGCGTTAGCTCCGCCGACGATAGCGGGTTTTCCGTTAACGGCTGTAGCGGTGTAATCGGCTCACGCTCAGCACCAATGAGGTCAGGCTTCAGCTCTTCACCGGAGAATGAGAATGGTCCCAGGATACTCTAGGAACGGGAAAGGAAACAGATCCAAGCACAACATGGCACAGAATGCATTTTCATCGTAGCGTGTCCAACATTCCCATTACAGTGCATTCAGAAAGCCAAAAAAGAGAGCCGTTGACCCTCCATCTATAGTACATGTGCACTGGTTTCTGATGATGGCTTAGTGCGTGAAAGTCGCAGTTAGAACTCTTTTTTCATCCTCTTATTACTGTTTTATACTACATGTACACACCACTTTGTACTTAAATAGGAAAGAACTATGTGCATGTGTGTGTGTGTTTCTGTGTGTGTGTGTGTGTGTGTGTGTGTGTGTGTGTGTGTGTGCATGTGTGTGTGTGTGTGTGTGTGTGTGCGTGTGTGTGTGCGTGTGTGTGCGTGCCGGTGTGTGTTTTAGAGTTGCTTAGAAAGACTAGTGTACTTTTCAGAACAAAGGTGCCTTGGCAAGGTCTCAGAAGAAATGGATAGTGCCCGTGTAGTCAGTTGCCAATAAGCACGGAATGTTGACCAACAGCACAATGGTGCTCTGACACAGGTGTGTGCACTGGAACAAGCCATACCTTTTAGAAGTGAACGTGCAGGGTGCACTGAACCTGCACGTTTCACTCACACCACCCGACCGGCACCGCACTATGAACCCGGGCCTATACGTTTTTGGCAAGCTTTCAAATATTTCGTCAATACCATGGTCTCTCGGGCGTCCTAACACACATAGCAAGGTAGCATGGCAGGTCAATAACTCACGGTTGCCATAACTGATATCTCGTCATTTTTGTTAGCTACCTGTGACACAAACGATCAGGCAGAGAGATAGAGCAAAGGGATATATTACTATGATAGAGCAAAGGGATATATTACTATGATGATATTATCATAATATACACACAGGACTGAATCTCCGGGTGGCTACATGTACCTATTTTGTCCTTCTTAGGTCTCGTTAGTGGACACATACAGACAGACAGACACACACCACACACACACACACACACACACATACACACACACACACACACGCGCGCGCACTCGCACACACACACACACATAATTATATGCACATACATGTACACACATACACACACACACACACACACACACACACACACACACACACACACACACACACACAAACACCCACAATCGGGTGAGAGTAATTTATACTTTGGATTTCTCTGAGTTTCATGCTCTGAGAAATCTTCAGATCACAGGCTTGGGTTTCCGTAGCGTGGGACACGAACAAAAGAAAGGCAAAAAGGACGAGCACGGAAGCCATCACCTTTGGTTTGGCAAGAATGATCATGTGTGCATGCAGGGATGTGTGAGAAAAGCTGATATATGTACTTTCCGGTCTCTGTGAGAGTGCTTGAAATGTGTGTAGGAGGTGTGGTCTAGAGGGTTGGCAATGGGGTATCAACGTGATTGTTACAGTAAATGAAAAAAGGTAAGTACTGATTAGCTGAGCGCTCAGGGGTGGGAGGGGGGTGGGGGAGTTACAGTCAAGAATTGGAGACTATGCGCAGGTCTGCGTCCCAACCTTGAAACCTTGCTTCAATATTCATGATCATGGTGGAGTCCTCTTTTAGGTATAACAGAGTTTTGAAGGATCATGTCAGCACCGTGAGCCGGTATACTCTAACCAGTACACTTGATTTCAATCCGGCAATAATTAGCAATAATTAGCAATAATTTGTCTACCTATGCATAAACATGCCTCTTACCTTCTTGCAAGCGCCAAACTTCGGGGTCGGCTGGAGGCAGAAGATCGGGGAAATCACAGACACAAGCTGACTATGCAGAGCAGGTCACGCACAAAACACTTGCAAGGAAGACAGCTAAGGGACTGGACAATGTGGTGCTGCCTGCGAAAACAATATCCCAGTGGAGCTGATTTCCTTTCCCTGCGTGTAATATATACGCAGGACTGAGCTGCACCTGATCAGCCACAGTATAACTTACCTCCTGCGGCACAGCTGTTAGTGCGGTCCCAGTGAGGATTTTGGTGCAAACAGAACCAAACAGTGCATGCATACAATGATGACATCTATTCTTTGTGTTACACACCCTAGTAGTGCTAGTACTACACATTTAGTGGCTTAGTGTCACATGTATGCTACTAGCCGGCTGCCGGGGAACACCAGTGCATAGGGCTGGTGTCACCCGTGGTGGAACTAGGCAGCAATAGCAGCTTGGATTGCCCAGGGGCAAGATGGGACATTCCCAGGGGTGCTTGACAAAGTGGTCAAGGTTACGCCAGTTCAAGCTGGTTTGACATCAAGTGGCTACTGTCCCACATTTCAGGTAATTCATAGCCAGGACACTTGCAGAACACTTGCGCCCAGAATCCCCCACTTCCACGCAGACATCCCACAAAGACAAGTATCCAGATTAAGGCTAAAATATACGAGGCTAGACTAGCTACGCACCCAAATACCACTTCACCACGCACTTTGTGCTGCTTAATTATCCCCTTCACCATGCCACAACCAACAGTGCAATTATCCATACTGGGGGCCTGCGCTCCCACACAGCATAGTACCGACTTTAAGCACTTGCACAGTACTAACACTGACACTAACAGTGCCAGGCAGGCATTCCACTGAACCAGTCAATATTATGGCCAACCATGCCGTGATTGGCTGGAGCCACGTGGGAGATGGCACGCCAGGATTTGTACTACACCTGTCCTACATCTGGCCACCACTTAAAAACTGCCATAGCTGGCCGTGCACTACTAGTACTACTAGCGGCCAAGGTTCAGACTGACCAGGAAAGTGCAGGTCACGTGATGTAGCAGCACAGTGGTCGTACAATCCGCAGTGCAGCAACTAGAGTATAAAATTGGGCTTTGCAAAAGCTATCTAAGAAAGTAGGCCCAGGGTGTGACCATTGCCAGTGCGTCATGGCCCAGTGCCGGAAGATACATAGCCGAAACTCAATTATCTAAGTAAGGGTGTTCTAGAAGACAAAAAAAGACCAATATGCTGACATGACACAACATTGCTGCCCCTGTGTGCCAGTCATGCTGTCAATATTGACATATCACCGGAAACTGTCTATGCTCTGCAGTCATTGAGCGCTCATGCCGTAAAAAAAAAGCTTGGCACCATGCCACAGCAGCACACCATTTTCAGAACACAAGCCATTGCTGTTAGAAATCCCATCCTCTTCGCATAGTAGACCCAGGTGCTTGAAGTCCGGACATGGTATCCTAAGTTCGTACACCCATAATTTCATGTTCTGTTATTGTATTTGACTCAAATATTTTATGGAGGAGACAGTGTGGTATGTTCTCCTCGCGTACCAATTTTCAGGGATCTGCGATAAGCAGAAGTCCCAGACCACACGAGTGGGTTTTCGAGTGTCCATACGAAATACAAATTGGGCTACATTTCATGCAAAAATCAACTTTGCCAAGACCGATTTCGAACGGACACAGGGTCAAACAGACCTGCACTCAATCATCAAGAGCCAGCTTAGAGCTGAGAATGGCCAGAGGAGAAGAATTTACAGAGAACCACCAATCCTTGCAGAATGGTTGACACTCCTGGCATCTCCACCACTGTTTTCCCGCGGTTTTCACAGCGCAGCTGCTTCATCTCTGAGCCGACTAAAAACAGCTTGCATTTCGGCAACAAACTACGGTTTTCCAAGAAATACTGGTGGAGGCACATACCACCGCTTCGGAACTTTCGTCGTAACAGAGGGATTGCAAGTTAGCAATTAGCAGAAATGTGTGTGTATTTCGAGTCACCTCTGAGCAGTACGGACTTAGAGCACCCTCTGCGAAACCAAAATTTGATATGAAAAATCAGCGAACTCCAGAGAAACAGATCGGATCGAAAGATGGCCTGGTTCAATCAATCTTGGCCTCAAAACAAACTTGGACAAGATACCTTCCATCCACGAGCATGATTCTGGCAAGTGATCATTGCTAGTGTGAGTTTCAGCTCGGCCAACACACACTGTAAAAGTGTCCGGACTTCAAGCACCTGGGTCCACTGTGCTTTGTCCGGGCCCAAGTGCAGCAGCATCAGAGTGTGTGTATGCACACATAGAGACGAAGAGGTATTCTGTTCTTCCTCCCTCGAAACACTATCGTGATGTTGTTCCAACTGATGATAATTAAAAGAAACCGTTCTTGGAGCCTACTCACTAACATTATATTGCAGTGGGTATGAAGTAGTTGAGTGCTCAGCTAATCTCAGTAAGTTTTCGTAGCTCTATTTAACCCTTTACAGCCTAAAATAGCGTTGCAACGTAGAAGGTGATACCCATGCACATGTTGAGGATCTAGCTGTACACATCTCAAACTCATAATGGTCACGCTGATACAGTTAGCTCTGCCACACGCACACACACGTACACACACACACACACACGCGCGTGCGTGCACACATACGCACACACACACACACACACACACACACACACACACACACACACACACACACACACACACACGCACACGCGCACACACTGACCATGGCACACTGATGGTGACAATGCCCAGGACAATACGGCTTGACATCCACAGACAATTTTTAAGGTGACACTGACCGCTTTGTGTGTGGGAGCTAGCGCTTTCCCTGCCGATGAGACTTAAAGGGGGCACTCTGGGAATATTTTCGGTAGTGTGTTCTCTTCATGGGGGCCTTATATGGCCTCCAAGGAATGGGGAATCGCGAAACTGTGACTAGACCCAAAAAGTCGATATATGAAGCCAGAGAGGGCCAAGTCTGTCTCCTCCGCGGAGGGTTTTGATGACGTCACGTGTGATTAGTATTCAAATTCCCTGCATTCGAAGGTGTTAGTTGTTTGAATTTTCTGGTGATGAAGAATGATGTTTGGTCGACATTCCCAAGCTTCACAACTGCGGCCATACTCCAAGGAACCTGAAGGGCCTCCTCAAGTGCCCCTGGTAGAAGCGCAGCGTGATGAGGGCCAGGAGATTGGAGCAGACGACTTCACTGGTCGACAAGGAAGAAACGATTGGTGTTCCTGCCAGAAATGTGGAGTGATGCAGAGGGCAGTCGATTGCCTTTGCTGTCGAGAGATCGATGGAGCTGTTAGCATTGACAGCGCTTTGACATGCGTTACGCATCACCCCGACTTTCCGTCAGCTTGTCTAAACACTGACCAGCTCCTCGTCCGATCCCTCCTCCTGCTCGCGTTTTCGCTTGTGGTAAAGTGATTCCTTTAGAGGTGTTGTTTTCGGTGTGGAACTAGACTTTGCAGACACGCCTGAACTCGAAAATGACGTTGGCACTGCACCCTCCACGCGACGAGCTTACGAGGTCGCTTTTGCCTGACTGGCTGCTCATCGCCCCACTAACCATAAATTCGCTCATCAGATCGCGCTGAAAGCAGGTCGGTTCAAAGTGGGCTGAACACAAACGATCCCACTTTATTGGCTCAAAGAGCTTGTGGGTTTTCCCACCGGCGACTCGAGCTGCCTGCCCATGTTTTTGACCCGCGAAAGACGCAACTCAGCGTCGTGGGGAAACATAAACCACGTCAAATTTGTGCATGCCTCATCCTTCTAATGGTTAGAACAGCCGGGAGCACAGCGTCTCCGCATGAGACAGGAAATCTGAAGCTGGCACATCGACCACATGAAAGAAACAAACTTGACAACTACCCTGCAACGCTTCACCTCGACAGTTTCAGCAGTGTTCCCATTCGAGCTCCGGGAGCGCATTGAGGTCCTAATCACACGTGACGTTATCGAAACCCTCCGTGGAGGAGACAAACTTGGCCCTCCCTGGCTTCATATATCGACTTTTTGGGTCTAGTCACAGTTTCGCGATTCCCCATTCCTTGGAGGCCATATAAGGCCCCCATGAAGAGAACACACTACCGAAAAAATTCCCGGAGTGCCCCTTTAACACGTCACTGGCTCATGGCCGACCGTCGGAGAACCTACTCAAACCTTCACAGCCTTGCGAGGGCTCTGGGTAGCAGTCGTAAGTCAAGTCGAGTCAAGTCGGCAGGATAAGCGCAAACTCTCAAGTACACAATATCATAGAGAGTAACCAAAGTGGCACTATAGAGGCTGTGCGAATGATTTCATTGCGTGAATCAGCGGGACGGCTAAGCATACAGCGTGAGACATCGAATTTGCATATGGGCGATATGTATTGCAGCGTTAGTCGCTAGTGCAAGTGCACCGCTGTTCCACGAGTACACAATTTGCCAAAGCATATCAACTAATGATGAAATTGCATCACCTCTATAGCTTCCACAACTATCTTTTTGACTCAGGTAACGCCCAATCGTAATATCGGTTCACAAAACACACAATACTGCAGCCATGATTTTGTACGTGGGGCAACATCTCATATAGCCAAGTGTTGTGAGATTTTACACGTAAGAAATATCGGCCTGTCTGCACTCACTTTGGAGGACTCTCCTGTTCTCGCATCATTGGGTCTTTCATCCATTGGCCTGCATCAAATAAAGGGCACATCAATAGAACAGGTATTTAAAACGCTCTGTTGACGTGATGTGAGTCATACCAAGACTAAGTAAAGTCAGCAGAGAATGATGCTGAGATGTTGGCCACATCCTGCCTGCATAGCAATGTCAGCTCCCACTGCTGCTAAGCAATGTCAGCTCCCACTGCTGCTAAGCAATATCAGCTCCCACTGTTGCTAAGCAATGTCAGCTCCCACTGTTGCTAGGCAATGTCAACTCCCACTTTTGCTACTATAGAAGCACTGGGAACAGCCCAGAGAATTTAATCGCCAGAGAACAACTGGATACCACCGCCCTATCTTCTGAAAACAGCGATGTGCACTAATTGTGTGCTTTGATAGTTAGAAGGAGAGATTTTACTTCGACGAAGACAAATAATTACACAAACGCCACTGGTGAATCTGATGACGCTGTTCACACCACAGGGTACTAGCAAGGTCAAAATAGTAGGGGGGGGGGGGGGGGGGCATGGGAAACAGTTACCCTGTGTTCCGTTTTTCCACTTTCCAATATTGTCTTACCATGCTAAATGCAATGTATGGGGCGAATACCCGATTTCGCCCCAGACAAATGTGCCTTTATGAACTATCCGACTGCATTTTCGTTGAATTGCATGGAAAACATGAAATCGGAAAATGAGTAGGGGGGGGGGGGTGCAAACAGAGTAGGAGGGCGCTGCATCCTGCTACCCCCCCCCCCCCCCCCCCGCCCCCGCCCTTTGGCCAGAACCCTGCCCCATTACTTGTTTAAAGTCATTGCATTCAACTTTCTAGGCGGTCAAAGCAGCGACAAAAATGGCACCTACTAAAGAGAGTGCAAGTGGCATCAGTTTGCTGTAGTCTCCATTGCTGCATGGCGCAATGCTGTTTTTGGATACATTGCAGTTTTGCATGTACCTGGTGCCACTTGCGCTCTCTTAGGTGCCATTTTCGTCGCTGCACTGCCTTGACCGCCTAGAAAGTTGAATATAAGCATCTGTTTGCTGCTGCTGCTGCCCATATCATCAATCTAGAGATTGTCAAGAGCAATGGTGAACAAGGCCTTACACAGCTGCTGTGTGTATGCAGAGACCGATCGGCCTGCTTGAAGCAGGCATAGCCTGACGTGACTTCATCGTGCGCCCTATCATTTCCACGGTGGATGACGCTCAGGGTCCCGGCGCGTGCCAGCACTGCCGAGTGATGACGTGTCAAACGTGTGTCGAGCACACTGGCTGCCTCCTCACGCTCGGCAGCGGAATAAGAACTACACGTCGGCCAAGAGCCTGACTCCAGTACCTGCCAGCTATGCATAGCGGACTTGTCCGAACCCCTCTAGATCTTAATCACTTTGTTGTGCCTGGCGTAGCAGTCATCTCCCTGGACTTCGCCAGCTTTTCTAGTGTTACTAAAAGAGTAACCTGGCGCTAGAAAAGCAGGGAGTGGTGGAAACCATCAAGAAGGCTCAGCAGACCGATGACTGTGTCTCACCCCTGGAGCCCGGCGTCAGGTAGTGTGTGAACATCAGCTCACTGTCCTCGACAAGCGATGTGTTCGCTTCGTAGCCAATCTGCCCTTCCCGTCCCATACCACTCCTATATACACTCGCCTTTCCCTGACCCCTGTAATTGAACGTGCCAAATGCAAACTCCGTTTCCTTATGTACCGTGTCCACACCAGCAGCATCAGCCCTCTTCTGGAAGATGGAGTAACCCTCCAACCTCCCAGTAACACCCGTGGCAATGACAATTGCAAATACGTTCGGCGACGGCTGTCATGGACAGTGCCTTATGACTCGCGCCGTTCGCTGTTGAACGACACAACGACTGCAGCATGTCGTGTCGAATGAATCGTACGTATGATTTACAGCCCGAGTACAAGTGAGTACAAGGGCAATACCGGCTGATACATGACCGAACGGTGTCAGCCGTGAGGTCGTGTATCAAGCCGGTATTGCCCGTGTACGAGCGCGTACGAGGTGCTGTAAATCATGTATTGCATGCTTGCCCCCGGTGTTCCATATATGTACAAACGTATGCAAGCAGACCAAATCATTTTCAAATGCAGGCTACACTGAACACAACTCCAGTACAGTCTGGAATGCGGTTTTGAATTTTATATGTTTTCACAGTTTGAACAGTGATGTTGTTGGTGATCGAGCACTGAGTTAGAGTAGTTGCAGGACTGAAACACACTTGTTCCCTGCTGCTTCGTCTCCAACATTTGGAGCTCCTGCGGCGTGCAGCTCGCGATCAGGGCATCGATGTCTGCGTCCCAATTAGACGATGCCGGAACAAGAGAATCAGACGCTGCCTGAACAAGAGAGCTGGATGATGACCGTGGCTGCAGAAGTAGGTCTGGAAACAACGGAAGCTCAGGGGGTGCTGCTGGCTGAAAGAGATCGTCCAGATCAATGCCTGTCAGTTCCGGATGAACCGGTTCGGCAGGTGTAGTATCGGGGAAATATAGTAATGATGCCGTCTTGAGCTTGTCGGCTTCTGTTGGTCGATTGTAGTGCACAAGGCTCTGTTGGGACTTGTGCCCTGACACTGCAAAGAGCGTCCTTCTGCTGAACTTCCTTCAGCTGGCCATCTTGCTTCATTTTTTTTATGAAAGCATTGAGCGCTTGGTTTGCTTGCACAAATTCTCGGTCCGTGATTATGTTGATGGGTCGTCGTAGTTTGGTGAGGCGTCGTTGAATGGCAGCACGAAATGAAATGAGGCTTGCCTTGTTGTATATCTTTTTTTCATTTTTGGTCCGGATTTCGACGTGTGCATGTTTCAAAATGCCAGCAAGGTCGGTCGGAGAAACAGTGGCCAGATCACACGTTACTTTCTTCTTGCGGCAGAAATCGGTCAGAACCGAAAGCCATTTTTTGGTGGCAGTTGTCGTGTTTTGCTTTTTTCGTTTCGTCGATAAGCTTTTCAATATCTTCGTCAGATACTTCTTGAAATCTGCTCGTCGTTGAACTACAGTAAAACCTGTCAAGGCGACCACTCGGATAAGGCGACCACCTGGATCAAGGAATGCTATTTCCAGGCAAATGACCCTGGTAACAGAGACCATATTTTGAAGGTCCCTTGAGCGGCGGTCGTCTTAGACAGGTTTTCCCTGTACAGTCAGACCTGGCATAACCGCACAGTGCACACATGTGTTCTCCACAAAAAAATATCCGGATAGGCGAGAGAACCGGATAACTGAACACACATACTGTATATGCATGTGGCATGTCAAAAGCAGTGACATCGTACATACATGTAGACGGGTCCTATGCAGTACAACTAGCGTGCAAAGTACCGTATATTCTCTATTATAAGCGCCGTGCTTATATTTTTTCAACACCCCTCTACCCCGCGCTTATATTGGAGACTGCGCTTATATTTTTTCAACCAATACATCCATACAGAGCAAGGAGAAATACATGCTAGATATCATGCATGCAGCATTGATTTCCACCAAGACCGTGCTAGTAATAGAGACTGTGCTTATAATGTTTCGAAAGGTGCTCACAGTGTGCTAGTAATGGAGACCTGCGCTTATAATAGAGAATATACGGTATGTAAAACAAGCGAGAAAAATGACAAGTGCATGCTGTCCACATGCACCCAGCAGGTCAAGGACCTCATTTGCCTGTACGACTCGTACAACTCCCTGATTCTAGCTTCTGCAAGCCACATGCAACCGGATACGACGAAGCTTTTTGTACACATTTTAACCAGTTTGTACACAAAATCATGCACCGGTATGCGGATCGCGAGGTCCGGTTATGTTGTATGCATAACATATGCTGCACATCGGTAACCAGCGATTTTCTTCCGGATGGCGAGGGATCCGGATAAACGAGGACCGGATAAGCGAGGTCTGACTGTACTTGAAGCCGTAGCTGCTTCAGCGGCTCCACGTGGTGGTACTCTTTCGTCTCCATTTACAGCATCATCACGTAGTGGACCCGGATCGGGAGGCAGTGAATGTACAGTTTCATTCTCCATATTTGCCTGTCCACTTTTAATACCAAAAAAGGAACACTTTCTCTCCCAAGGTGAACTGCAACTGACAGCACGCATGCGTACTGGGAGCAGATTCAACGGGCAATACACGAAAATTCCTGCCCGCTGAGCAAGAGCGCTCATAGGCTGCAGTACAGGCAACCCTCACGTTATTATTATTATTAAATTTTTGATAGGGTAACGTGACATGCAATAAAATACTTTACAGCTCACCCCAGCCTACCCGACCGGCCCTTATGTCTCGTACTGTCAGCATTGCGTCGAATGTGAACTGGGAACTGGGCTTTATTCCCGTAGCTATGCTTTATTTACATGTGTTACAGTATGAACCGAGTACCCCTTCCTCTGATTTATTCCGAGCACGATTATTTTGAAAAAACAGAGCGAGTGCTCGAATATTCGGTACAATTGTCTCACCCCTATTATTGTCAGCACCAACAATGGTGAAGACAAATATTGACATAAACAACTAAAACAACAACAACGAAAACGACAACGACAACAACAACAACAACAACAACAACAACAACAACAACAACAACAACAACAACAACAACAACAACAACAACAACAACAACAACAACAACAACAACAACAACAACAACAACAACAACAACAACAACAACAACAACAACAACCACAACAACAACAATCAATGCCCCACCATCACTGCTGCGTCTCGGTGCAGCCCCTACTCAGTAGTTGTCACGTTTGTCCTAGTCTCAGTACCATTGTGTCTTTCATTATTATTTACGAGTTGGGTATGCAGAAAACCCGGCTTCCAGCCGAGTCTCACGCAAGCAGTGAAATTAATTTTTAAATTTTTTATGTGAACATAGTAAAAAAATAAAAAAATAAAAAACAACAAAAAAAACAACAACAACAACCTCATGGGAGGCTCACCCTATACTGGTGATAGGCAGAGGCTGCTGCAGGAATCCCGTTACGGGCATGATGACCAAGATGACAGCACAGCCAATCTCTTCTACTAAGCAAGCAACCGTTGAAACGGCGAACTTCCGCACGAGTCCTGAGAACGGATCGATCGAACTCGAAACACGTCTTACGACTTTTCGAAGTAAACTGTTGCTCTGCAATGATGGAGGTAACTAACTTGACATTTTCTTCAATAGCCAAGAGCTCTGTCGCATCCTGTAATAAACTATAACTCTGGAGGAAGACTGCTGGTTGCAAACTAAGAGGAGCTCGTAGCTCGTCGCTAATATTTACACTAGTACAGTAGTAGTAGAGATGAGCTACGAACTCCTCCACACTCCCTACAATGCTAGTCCACATGCTAGCAAAGCAATTAATTACACGACTACAAAGTCACTCGACACGATAGTCATACGCTTACGTGACGTATTTGCGTAGCCAATTGACCCCCCGGAATCGCAAACAGGCCAGCTACTAAACAAGGGCAACCTTCTACTTCTAGCCAAGGCCATATCTCTCCACAAAACAAGTACTTTTTCAACCAGTCCATGGTGCAGGAAACCCAAGCAGTCCTCCGACCCTTAGTACAATAGTAGGGCCTTACTACAAGTACACGCTGGAGACTCCCTCGATTTAGGAGAATCCATAAAATACAAATACAATACA